GAGGGGGGGTTTCAAAATAAAGTAGAGTTGAGTGGAAAGAAAATATCGTAGTGCAACCATCTGTGAAAGGAATATTAAAAAAACGATGATTCCTTTACTTCAAAATAACTTATATTTGAAGTTCTTTGACTGAAATGTGATGTGAACAAACCCCACAAAGTATCGTATGGCAACTTGGATGTTGTGGCAACTGATTTTAAGAGTGTGACAGCACAGCACACATGGTTAGTTGAATATAAAAGCGCACTCGAGTGGACTTTTAGGAGGAGAGAATTTATGTGTAGAAGTTGCATTCAGCCACAACAATGGACTGTATTAGAAAACCCTTCACTACAAATATTGAATTCGTTTTTTTGTGGCTTAACAATCGATAATTAACACTTTTTGTATGTTTCCACAATTATGTGACTTTCACATTATAGTATAACCATGTGTGTATGCGATAGAATAGTATTTATTATATATAATCTAAGTGTAGGCCCAGTCTGTCCTAAAAAAAATGAGATAATTGGTCGTCACAGCTGACAGGCACGGACGGGGTTCGAACCCGCGATCTTCGGTTTACGAGACCGACGCCTTACCACTTGGCCACCGCGCCTGGCAGTGTAGATGGGTCGCGTTGAGGCTTGAAGAAGTGCCTACTAGTTAATTCTAGGGAAGCAAACTCAGTTGTTATTACACACTATTTTAACTTTCGTTACAGCAAACGAGCTGCTAATCGCACTTTCACGGAAACTAAAACGTTTTCTATTTGTTTTCCATAAGCACTCTTTAGCAATCGGCAAAACGCCGATTTCCTGTTTCCTTTTTTCCGCCAGGTTTTTATTTTTTTATTTTTTTGCTGGCGGGAATGGGCTTCCATAGGCTTCCATACTGATGAGATGTGAACCTATTAAAATAAAAACCCAGCAAATGTCCTGAGGGATTACAAAATGTATTAATTATGTTTTTGAAGTCTGGACTAAATGAAGCCGACGTGAAGTTCAGGCGTACCCATCATGCAACGCGCGAGAGAAGCGGAATCTCGATCGAGAACACACCCGGAAGTAGATAACAAAGCGTCCAACGGCGGATCGGATTTCAATATTTCTGCTGAAACATGAAAACAACTAAATATACAACGATGACGTGAGTGCCGAATGTTCGTTCATCGGACGATGCGAAGATTGTGCGATCCTTTTAAATCAGTAAAGTAGCTCATGCTGTAAGTAACGCGAATTAGTTAAAAAGCAGTGCTAGTCTGGCAGGAACACATCTGTGTGTGAGCTAATGCGTTAGCTTGCTAGCAGAAGATGACTTTAATAACGCTGATTGGTTATTTTATAAACGCCAGATACATTATTTTGATCATGCATATCAAACTACTCCTGGTGATGCCAGTGTGTAAGATTACACTGATGTTTATGTGTTATTGTCACATATGTAATAGCGTTCCAGATAGCCGTGTAACTCATGCCAGATTGTGTTTACAAAACATGGAATTATATAAACTCGTGCTGATCATCAAATTAACGTATGACGCAAAACATGAAATGATAATTCTTACACGACATTGTGAGCCGTTCTTCAATTCGGCATATAAAATAATATCAGTGTGTAGAGTTTAAGCTTCATATTGCTGATAATTATATATTAATATTAATAATCATAATAATATTAATGGGCCTTTTGATGTTCAAATGAATGATTTAGTGTGATTAAAGGTCTTGTTTTACATATTTTCGATGTGATTTTTGCACACTTATCGTGTTTGGGAAATCTGAAAAATGTATATCAATCTATCTTCCAGACCACTGCTATAAGAAGCAGGTAAACAAAGCATTAAAACAACGAAACCATATACAAGCAGTGTCATAAGTGTACTTTCAGTGTCTCTGAAGGACTAGACTGCTGTGACCTTTTAAGTTTTCCTCTGCTAAACATGATTCAATTAGATTTCTGTAAGTTACTCAAGCGTTTTAATGTCACAGACCGTGTTGCCCTTCACATACATACATCATCGCTCAGAGGCTTAATGGAAACTGTCTTGTGTTCCAGTCTTTGACAGAGTCTGATCTGCTGCTGCTGAGACCCCCCACCACCACCACCACCACCATGCCGCTGGTGTTGGACGCAGTGTGGGCGCTGTGGAGCATCGGAGCCGGCATCTACGACTACTTCCATACCAGTGCCATGGAGGAGAGGATCCACACGCTGGAGAATGTCCTCTCCATCCACCAGTTTTTGATCGTGGGCCTGTCGGCAGGCCTCATCCTGCTCATAACCTACATACTGTGGAGAAAACACTGAGACCCCCACGGACTGAGTGGTGGTTTCCCATCCTGATGCTGTCCAGAGGGACAGTTTGGATTATGTGACTGCGTTTAGGACATCCCAAATGAGGTGAGGAGCCCTGATGGGACAATGAGGACCCTGAAAACCGGTCCGGTACTCTTTGGGTTCTGGGCACTGTGGGGTCCGTTCTGTCCGTCTGTCTCTGGTGTTTTGGATGTAAAACTAATACAAAATCACAAGGCAACTTTGCACTTTGACGTCTCTGAAATGATGCCATTGATTTAATAATTAATAAATAGTACATAAATGTATCCCCGTGTGTGTGTGATGAGGGGCGGAGACGTTTGGTCAGCGGAGACACTTTACAATTTAAAACTTTGGTTGTTTTTTTAACCGCTTTATCCCAAACATCACAACGTATAATTACCTGGAGATCAACTGTTTTCTCATGTTTACAAATGTTCTCATCTATTTTAATTCATCCAGCAGCATTACCTGTACTCAGGTAATTCTCTCATTTTCTTCGCAAATTAACTGTAGATACGCCCGTTTCATCCGGAGATATTTCGATTTTTAACTCCACCGAACAGAAGAAAACAGTTAAATCTTTAGCTTTGGATATTCGGCTTAATTCTTCCAGCACTAGAATTTTAAAGATAAAATAGTTTTCTTCTCTAATAAGTTTTTAACGGGATATAAATGACAACATTTGACTCCTTTTCATCCTTATCCAGGTGAGGAGATGGAGGTCGAATGGGTTTTGTGTGTGTTTAATTTGCTTGTTTCCAGTCTGTCCGCCACGTTTCTTGTGTCATGTTTTTAATAGAAATGATCTCATGATTTCATCCAAATATTGTCCACTTTAACGACTGTATCGTGCTAACTTTCTGGGGTTCGTTGTCTACGATGTGCACTGTTGCTCTGACAAACCACTACCATGGCTTCTGTTAAAGGGAATATGTTTGAATAATAAATTATAACTAAAGTCCAAGCTGTGTGTGATTTTAATTAGAACCCTTTTGTTCCCCGTCAGGATTTCATGTCAGTTTTTGTGTTAAATAATTCACAATGCAGAGAACTTTACTGGTGAATAAAAAGTCATTTTAAAATCTGTAAATCTGCTTCCATTTTGTACTTAAAAAATATATTTTATATTAAATATGAAGAAAAGCAGAAGATCAGTAGAAAACACGAGAAGGAGAAAAAAGTCTTGAGAACGTGAGATGGAAACGTACAGGAACAAGGCTTCAGCTATGCCATTACATTCATACTCATATTTATTCTGGTGCAATAATTACATTTATTCTAGTGCAATAATTAACTTTTTTGTGCAATAATTACATGTATTCCAGTGCAATAAATACTCCTATTTCAGTGCATTGTACTCATTGTTACACTGTATTTATTTATTTTACTGATTATTTTATAACATTTAAAGTTTGCTGAAGTCGTGTTGTTTGTGTGCTGTTTTTCCCCGAGTTAAATTGCACTGATCAGGAGTAGAGCTCCTAATTGTAATGACAATAAAGGCTTTCTATTCTAAAGGGGTATGATGATGGTAGAAACATCACAGAGCTAGTTCCCTCTCCAAAAGTCTGCACAACATTCTGCACGTAAAGCTCCTTCAGATTGACATTTCAACATCAAAAAGCAGGAGCCCACTCACAGACTCTGGTAGCTGGAGGTATTGAGTAACACGGTGGAAATATCTCACCAGTGAGCTATTTTAGTCCTCATTATGTTTTGGGGTCAGTGGTTTAGTCATGTGCCGACTGCTCTGTGCTCACCCTGAACCAAGATTAGCACCATGTATCATCTCTTTTAAACATTTTATGTTTATATTTCAACATGAAAATTGAACTTGTTATAAATGTATATTTGAGCAACTACAGTGCAAACAAACAAATGATGAAATTAAACATTTAATTGAATGATATACACACTAATTTACTCTTCTGTTCATTTGTAATTTCAACAGTTTGAGTTTTAAATAGGAGATGTAATAATTAGTGCTGATACCAGCAAGAAATCCTCTCCATGGAACCGATACTTCAAGACTATTAAACTCAATCAATCAGTGGCTTTGGATGCTTCCAATTGGCATTAATTTCAACTGGCGAATTTCTCAAAATGAATGTATTTTTAATAAATCATTTGTCTTCAAAGAAAAAAGAAAATCCGAGGAAAATTATTTTGATCTGGTCTTACTTTAAACTTTTTATTTCATAAACAGCTATTTGATTTCTCTTGAGTTATCAAGGTATTTGTGTTTATTTTTAATTAAACTTAGTGTCTGCCCTTATTTAGACTTGTCTCGCCATGCTGCGGGCGGCAAATGTGCCTCTGCCTAGACTGGCCAACATTCCCACCAATGAGAGCTCTGGATTTCACAAACAAGCACGGCGATTGGGTAGAGCTGTTAGAAGGCGGGATCTTTCAACTCATAAGAAGCTTCAAGGTATATTTCACAAGTTGGCGAAGTTAGGGCAAAAAACCCGGAAGTCATATATAATACATCTTCAAAATAAAAGCGTTTGATCGCTCGAGATTACATTTTTAGATAACTTATGCTTAATATAGTAAGTGTTTCCATTGGAATGTCTTTCTGATATCGATATAGGTACCCGTGTTACACAAAAACGTGTTTCTCCCAATTTTGAATTTTAATTAAAATGTATTTTGAAAATACAAAACCGGATAACCACTGGACTATTTTGTGTAGCTTTTCCTGTACCGCTGTGACCCAACTTGCCAACAGGGCGCCAGGCGAGATATAATGCGATTTTTTGTGAAATTATGGCATCGAACCTACTGAAAACGTGTGTCATTGCCGAGTTCAATCAGTTATCGCTTGGGTAGCAGCTCGAGAGTTATCGATTAGTGCATTTAAGAGCGCCCGGACAATGCTATCCAGTTAGCCCCGGGGTTGTTGCTAACTGGCTACGGAAGTTAGCCAGTTAGCCGCGTCCGCTTGCCGTAGGCTGAATTTCTTGTTTCGCGCATTTCAAAAAGCCTGTTCGCCGACCTCTTGTCACCATTTAGCCGGCTAGCTAAACGGAAACATTAAGATTGCAACGCGTAGCTTCACCAATTATAAAATAGAGAAAAGACTGAAACTTCCATAACTATTCGCTTTTAAAATGGAGAGTCGGCTGTGTTTGTAGCCTAAGCGGCTGTTTTTTTCCTGCAAACACAAAGGAAGAGGACCTGAGTTCTGGTGGTAGGACAGTTTCTTTGGTACATTTTTTTGTTTTTGCCAATGGCTCCACAGAAGCAGGGCTCCTCAGGTGGAAGTTTTGGTTCTGGAGGTAAAACCAACGGGTTATACCAGTCCTCCGCCTCCTCTTCCTCCTCCTCTTCTTCCTCTTCCTCTGCGATGGCTGCAGCCAAGAAGCCCAACATGCAACTCATTCAAGCCGACCACGAGTTGTTCCTGCAGGCCTTCGAGAGTGAGTTGTCGCTGCTGCTGTCATCGTGTTGCACGTGTGTGAAGATAAGAGTGTTGATTTAAGGTCACGGGAACTTTAACGGATCGTTTTACTTCAAACTTTACCTCTAGTCAGAGATGGAAGAAGTATCCTTTACTGCAGGAAAAGTACTCCACTACAAGTAAAAGTCATGCACAAAACCTTACTCAAGTAAAAGTATACAGTATGTATGTATGCAAGTATTTATAGCTAAATGTACTTAAAGTACACGTTTTGATCGATAATTAAAATGTTCTCTATTAGTGTTTTTATTAATATATAAGATGGTTCTGGATTATTACTGTGTATGTTGCACTTTACTGCTGTAGATGTTTAAGTTTATGAGGATTATAATTACTTCAATTTATCAGAGATACGTGGTTTTCACAGGACAGTCTGGGGAAGAAAAGTGTCATCTGAAAAGTAACTTTAGAGAAATGTAGTACAGTAAAAAGTACAATATTTACCTCTGAGATGTAGTACAGTAAAAAGTACGAGATTTACCTCTGAGGTAGTACAGTAA